TTATCTTCGGCTGTTAAATTGCTGCGCGCTGATTGGCTGATCCAAATGACAATCACACTTTCGTTTTAGGGACAGGCGGATAACGAAGCTTGCATCAGTCGGACCTCTTTCCTGTTAGCCTTGAGATTAGATTCGTGCGTCACTTCGCTGGATGCGCACGTCAAGGCCACGGACCAGAGAGGCAGAGGTACACATGATATTGATCGTGCGCAGATGGAGTCTAAGTGACACCTAGACGGCTTCCTATATCATGCAATTTCAGCCAGTCTGCTTTACGTACTCAAAATGGGTACATTTTCAGCATTTACATTATCAACAATAAGTATATCAAAGGGTTATCAACAAAATTGTTAACCTTTAAATGAGTAAGAAATGAGAAGGGTGTACTGTCATAACTCGAGTTATGATCGATCGATCATGCAACGATTCCATATTGCTGTACTAAATCTTTGGAGTTTGCATCCAATCAAGAACGGACAAGATTTCGTTGAAATCTTTCTTCATAATTCGTTTTAGTTGGGGTGTAATTTTGTGTACAAAGACGGAAAATCGTGGATCGTGCGCTATATCGGCGTTTATATTCGAAAGATGGATATAGTAGATTTGTCGCAGTGATTTTGAACCTTGCTTGAACAAAATATCCCTCAGCCTATTCTTGCAAGATTATGTAAATTATGATGCTCGACGACAAAGGCAACGGCCGAATTAAAGGCCCCGCGATCCTTGCCCGAAGAGACAGCAAAGTAGATGGTATTTATTCGCCTGTATTTGCCTTATGCAGCGACAGTTAGGAGTATTCGTTGTGTTATGAAAGAGCCCAATGAAAGCCCAATTTTAAAATTGGCTTCCAGAAATAGCCGGAAATCGTGATGTAGGAAACAACGCCAGTGAATTTGACGCGCACGTTTTAGGAGAAAAAACAACAATTTGAAACTGAAGAGGAGGTAACTCCTGGTCCGTACTTTCAAGCTATATGAACGTTGGGAAGAGCCGGTCGAGCCTGATCGACTGAGTGTATGCGAGCGGGACTGCGATAAAAATTAGACACAGTAGATAAAAGTGCCGAGGCAGTAAAATGTCCGACTGCACGCCAGAGGTTGCGGGTCGCAATCCAGCCACTCAGTGAGTGCTTCACAATGACCGCTCCAATCTCTGCCCTGGGGAGCTCCGTCGCTGTTTATGACTACGCCTATTGCCTCTTTTACTTGTCGCACCTCAAGATTCCGCTTGAATCCATATCAATTGTTTACTTTCTCTTCCCATTAGTGCGCTCGTCACCTTCTTGGGATCCGTCATAGTGCATAGCCGGTCTGTTATGCTTACAGTGTTCGCCATGCTTTTTTTTTTAATTCTCTAGCCATGTTACTGTGTTCAACACTTTACCCACGCACGGCCACAAACCCTACACTTTACTACTCAACGTGACTATCATTGATTTGCGTTGCATTAGCCGTCAGCTCATAACACCTGTCTAGGACTACACTTATCTATGCCATTCTTCTGGTTGACAATAGAACATATTTTGTTGACTGCACCTGCTTGTAATTATATACAGGCCTAGAGGGCGTGTCTGAAATGTTTTTCTTACTACTGTACTGTCTATTCCCCGACTCATCATCCGTGTAATGATTCACTACGGTAAATGGAGTGCATCCGCACTGACCTCTCTGTATTTCTTACCCACTGTGTGATTGAATCGTTTTTGAATAACTTCTTTCGGTCGCATTCTATTTCTCATAGGGTAGGTCACGGTGCGCGGATGATCGGACCCAGCTGCCATGAAAAGTTCACTGACGCAAATCGCTACACACTTTGGCATGTACTTTGTACCTTCAAAGTTTAACGTGCTGCTCTGACAGTCTGCACTATCATGAAACAGTCGCTCAAATCGGTCATTCGTTATACTCAAGTGGCCAGCTGTATCTTCTGTAGTGGTCGCATCACCGAAAATTGGTACATGCATTGTTAGGGTTCGTGTGATTTTCCATATCCTCCATAGCGTATGTACTCTGATCAGGCCTGATCAGAATACGCTTTATGCACCCGAAAGAATTTATTTACGCCATCTATGCTTATGTTCTGGAAGTTGATATCAAGAAAACGAAATTAACTAAAATGAAACACATAAGGAAATGTCACTCCAACAGCCGCTTCCGCGGCATGCTCGTTGCTTCCCTTTGATATACAATTAAATGTACTGACAACCTGATGAGTTGTTATGATTTGACGAAGCATGAACTAACAGAGCAGAACCTTTACCACGTAGAAGGAGACATTACTTTTGAAAGGTCATTAAACAGCGGATTAAAAGGCTCATTTCAGACCAGTGGACGCAATCTATTACAGGCGTCTAAATGTCCAGAGACGGTCACATCAACTGGAGAATCTCCAGCTGAACAGCTTCATCTAGAAATGGGACATATCGATGCTACCAACAAGGTGTAATCCTTCCAAAGTAGTCTAGAGAAGATGAAAGATTAACAATTTAGCCAATGGGAACTAGTACGTGAAGCCACATTTAAATAGTAGGCAGTGAAGTAATGAGAACATCTTGTTCCGAGAAAATTATAAGATAATCCAAAGCTGGATTTAGGGAGCACGCTGTGTGGTTATGTTGCGATTCGCAACCTCTATTGAGACCTCGGCTCACTTTGAGGTAAACCTCGGTCATTCCGATCTCGAGGATCATATCCTGAATGGAAATGTTTGGGTGTTGCTCTTCCCAGCACTGGCACACCACGACCGTGGTGTCATCCTGCTTTGGACTCGTCAGATGGAGATAGCCTGAGCTGGGGTGGAACTCACAGCGTGCTCCCTAAATTCAGCTTTGAATTGCTTTCCGCTGTTCCATGCGTTGCTCGCGGATCTCAGTAGCATAGTGTTCAGGGCGTCAGCCATGAACTACTAAGCTCTGAGTTCCACCCCAACTCAAGCTATCTCCACCTGACGAGTCCAAACCAGGACGGAACCGCGAGCGTGGTGGTCCATTGTTGGGAACAGCAACACCCAAACATTTCCAACTTATAAGATAATCTTTTGACGCATATGCGTGAACCAAGGGAGATTCTTAACAAGAAGCCATTGAGATACTTGATGGTGGATGATGCTCACACTCATCGTATGGGAAGTACCTATAGTAGTCTACAAATTACGGGCAAAGAACTGGAAAACATCTGCAATTGGTTTGTCTATGCAGCATCTAGCTCCATGCCATACCAAGTCAAGAAGTTTACTACACTCGCCAGATCAAGTGCCTTCATGAATGCTGTATTATCACAAAAATCATCAGCGACAATGCAAATAGATCATTCCAGTTTAAGCAGCAATGTCGTATAAACTTAATTTTTAGGATGCTTTGACTCAGGCGCAAATGTGTCGAGAGTGTTGTTTAGGCGTTTTTGACGATGACTGACCGAACACTACTTAAAAATTATACTTGCATTCTATCAAATAACAGCTTGTAGCGACCGGTACTTGAATAATTTGGTTGCTTAATTGCACTAACTTTGAGATAGCGTAACCGATGATGCCTTAACTCCGACTCTCAAACTTTCGAGGGCGATCAGGCTCAATGGGATAAGGGTCATCAAGTTGATCATCTTTCACATCAGGATGTAACTAACTTTAACATTATAATAAATGTGTTTACGTATTTCCTTCGCTTCACAACTGGTGTGACATTAACAATTTTATTTAAGAGCTATTGCACCATACTGCTTTATCGGTAGAACAGCGATTGAGGCCGCATTTCCAATCCTTCACTTTTTTCCACTACTTTAATGGTTTAATTGTATTTTTACGTGTTCCTAGTTTTGTAACTATAGCCAAGAGAACATGGAACTCGTGCACTGCCACAGCTTTTCCAATTGACAGAATAGGACCACATGGTCGATTGTGATAACAGCTTCGTTAATAAGTATAGGAGCCCAAATCGAACACGAAATCCACGATGATGAGGATAGCAGCCGTCGAATTTATAGCCATTCTTAGAATGATCCATCTGGTGCATTGCGATTGACATTACTGTATCTATCAATGAGATGGTCATTGCGTGCTGAGGACACTAGTTGGTTGATCGCATTCGGCCACGCAGGACTGGATGTGTACTTTTGTAGCCCACTATCTGGCGTTTTGCTACAGACCATACAATATCTCAATGCAGCGCTTATGGAGCGCCAACTTGATCATGCCTTCCGAATGCATTTGCTTGCAATATTTGTCAATACCGGTTAGGTGAAATCCGTCGGCCGGTCGCGGAACAACTTACGTGTTGGCCTTGTACTTCGGAGGTCATTGGTCTGAATCCGGTATACCCAACCCACATGCGACCGGTGGTGATTACATGACACTGAGGCGTCGGTACGGTGTGTCGGCATTCTACGGATGACTAGATGAAATCCGGAGATTGCCAGTCAGTGGTACAAGCGCCCGAATGAAGTCATCGAGGGATTGGATTTTGTTGGTGCTCGTCGTCTTCAGTGATAGTGTTTTCGGGATCATGGTGGTTGTATGCCCTATCGGATATGGCACCTCATAAAATTATTCGCGCTTCTGCATTCATCCCGTCACTTTTGTCTTTTAACTCTTTCACTTTACATCGTTATCATTGCTTTAATTATCATTGTTTTGGAGATGGGTGTCAACGCAATGGAATCCAATACACGTTCCATGTTTGATAGACCTACATGAGTTGCATCGGTTAACACATCGTTCCAGATCAGAATTCTGGTGTTAGGCGCGAACAATACTGTAGATGTGTTCTGTGACGTACTTTACCTCTGATTTGGAATTTCCCAACCCAGAAACTGGATACTACCGATACTTGCACCAGTCCCTGCATTCTTACCCGTTTGAACCAACCTCACCTAAATTTTGCTGATAGATCTGTGCTCACAACTTTCCCTCTTGTTTCGTCGTTACACAATTCAATCTTACTGCAGAGCTTTGTGTTTTTATGCGAGTTGTTATCCGCTTGTTTCCCGTGCATTTGTAACCAATAGGCCAGAGACTTAAAGGAAGAATTTCCTCGCTTGCGAATTTTTAATCATCCGAATATTCTACCTGTGCTGGCTATCTTCACCGCAACTCCGCGATTGTGCCTCGTTAGTGACTATATGCAATATGGCAGTTTGTATGACGTGCTTCATCAGTCGGTCGATTTGGATGGTAGCGGAAACATGGGCCTAATGGATATAAGTCTGAGGCAAGCTCTCAAATTCGCAGTTGATATCGCCAAAGGGATGGAATTTCTTCACACTCCAGAACTCAAGGTTCCAAACTTCCGGCTTAATTCTAAGCATGTTATGGTAAGTACGGTTGATTGTCTTCCGAATATTTTTCCCATTGTCGTAGCGTACGATGACCAGTACTATTCGACTTGGCTTCTGTACCGGTTTTTAGGCTATTTTTTGGTGGGTCTTCTAACTGCACATTCCCTCGACAGCGTCCTTTTGCCTTAAGTATCAGAAACCTGCCTTGTAATCTGAGGGCGCTGGTTCGATCCTGCGCGTGAACGGGGTGACCTTCGCAGCAATCGGTGTTGGTTGCGCGGTAGCGATGCGTCGGTACTGTGTACCGGCCTGCTGCTGATGCCTTGCCTTTATCCCTCAACGAACTGTTCGCTATCACTGGTGTTAGTTTGACGTTTAAAGTCTACTTGTTTAAGATTGTCCAGTTTTCGCGATACAGCAGTAGATTTTTGTCCTCACCATATCCACGATACGTGCGCTTCCTGATGAGGTCACTATTTTTGACCTATACATTGCGTCTTCTAAGTTTTTCTTGCTTTTATCTCAAAACGCAGTGTAAACTTTTGTCTATCTTGTTGAACAGCTGTGTGACCGACAGCACATGCTTGGAAAAAATAATACTTAACGTATTCTCAACAGCGAGAAACACGACCCTGCAAAGTTGTCCTTATTTTAAGCTACAGGGGCAATTCAAGCTGAAATTACAGGACTATTGCACAAGTCCAAATGTAATTCCTTTTCCATGTATTCTTTCGTCATTAATTTCGTTTCAACAAGCATTCGGAAACAGATGGCAGCCAGGAATCGTTCAGGGTTTTTTTCCAGGCGGAGTGTTGCAGTGTGGGAGCAAAGTAACAGAAATGTTGACCACGATTGGCCCTTAACACGTTAGACAGAAGCCTTGAGCGTATTATGTTTTCAGTATTTAGTCGGTGGCGTAGGGATAACGCACCTCCCATGTAATCTGGAGATCACCGGTTCGAATCTTTGCGGGTGCGGGTGGTGGTCTCGCAGTATACGTACCCCTTGTGTGCAACTGGTGTTAGTCGCGTAGCAGTGAAGCATCGATACACAATGTGCCCTTGTCATACTGTTGATGCCCCCGACTATTCGCATCAGTGTTCGAATGGAATTGCAGCCATATCAAATAGAACAGGCACAAAATTCAAATTAAGCGCCAGGTGACCGTCTTGTTTCTAGAGCTTGTCGACACTCCGCTTTCCCCTGCAATTTTTTTCTTGTGTGATATTGCCTGCATGCGCTAGACTTTGTCCACCATCAACTGTCAGTATAACTAAGCACCATGTAATGACTTGATTTGCTCTATTTTCCACGTCCGTGCACGTCGCGGCTATGTATAAGCCAAATTTAGCCATCCGTGCGCCGTCTTTTTCCAGCAAACTTACGGCCGTTTAGGCTTGTTTCGACTGATTAACGTGCTCAAGAGTGGATGAGAGTCAAACGCTTTGAATGAATTCCACGGTCCCATGAGTCAGCCACAAGCCACCATTGAACTCACTAAAGGACTTTTACTTCATGCCGAGAACCGTCTGCAGTTTACATTTTTTCATTCATGTACTATGACTACACCACTAGCATACTGGCATGTGAGCTCGGCTGCAACAATGCCACACACTGACATTGATCAATTACAGTGACCTAGAATACTTACTACTTCCCACTATAGTCGTTTTTTCGCACTTGTCATGCAGAGTGGGACACGCACGATTTGTAACTTGGTCTAGCAATTCGGTTCAGTTCAGTCGAACAACTGCGATCCGATCACTAAAGTGCGCTAGCTACAGTTGCCATAACTCACATCGCAAGTGGAACAATAAATAGCTACTTCAAGAGAGTGGTGTTTAAGGCAAATAGAATGTAAAGCAAAAAGAAAGTGCGTTAAACTAATCAGAATGGAACGGAGATTAATAATGAGATGCAGGAGACTGAACGCAAGAGCGCCACTGACTGCTTGACTGCGTCATATCAGCTACGGTCTCTAATCATTGGTGTAAGCCATTAAGATTCAGTAAACATTCCAGTGAGACACCAAAAGGCTTCTTGTCAAAAACCAACTGGCGAACCCGGTGTTTCCACCAGACATGAGCAATGCTTCACAAGCACCGGTGGTCAAACATTACCCAGCGGACCGGCCAGTTCTCTAATTCATACCGGCCTTATCGCAGTGGTATACACCCCACGTTTCACTGTTAGGCTGATATCGCTCCGTCTTCATAAATCGTTGAATCTCTGGAAAGCCAAACTGGCATTGCTGATACGCGAAGTAACTTCCTCATTGATGTAACCACCAGATGTGACACAGTTACTAAGGTAAATCAACCGATCCACCACTTCAGTGACTGTTCGGAAATAGCTAAAACCGAAAGTGTGTCAGCTCAGTTCTACAAAGCCACCTCGCACTTTGAAGGTGCAAAGTACATGCCGAAGCGTGCAGCGTTGCGCACAAGTTGGCGCAGTAATGTTTGCATAGTTGCTGCGTCAGACCCAAGGGGCACATTGTCATCCGCATACTCCAGCTTTGTCAGTCGATCACTTGGCAGAATTTCCACTTTGGTGGAGTCTAAAATAACCTAGTCATTCATGATCATTTCGATAAGCAGTGCTACCAGCTAGCGTGGTCAACAGATTCCAAGGCAGCTTTCAAGCCATGAAAAATCACCATTGTCTGTCTTCTGTATATGTATCTCTGCTCCAAAATTTAGCGAAAAGTAAAAATGTGGTCGATGCAATCAGGACCACGGTTCTCACGGGGACCATTAATTCGTCCTTGATATAGCAAGCAAAGTAATTACTCTATTTGTTCATTCTACCGATGGGATGGTACCTTTTGTGCAAAATTCACACACTTCGGAAGCATCTATTTTCATCGTTAACCAGACAACTTTTGCTTGTTACCATCCGATAATATTCACCTTTCCAGCCTTGGGTGTTGGTAGTTCAGGCAGCCATCTCAGTTGGACTCTACATGTTGTGATAATTAGTTTTCCTTTATGCTCAACTGTTGTTGTCGCTGGTATTTCCCAGGCGCATCAGAGTCACTGGAGACAGGTCGAGTGCATGGGATCCACTTAACAATCTCAAAATCTGCTTAAGAGAGTGGCAGGAAATCGACACATTTCCTACTCCAACGGCAGACCGTGAGGACTTTACAGGTTCGAAGCACGACTTGGTTGGCCTGCAACGCTAACATCGGAGGTTTACTTCGGGAGCGAAATGGTATTATTGCTGTTGGTTTTTTTCCATACCGAACCTAATCCAGACTGTTTTAACCCTTCATGCCACCGTGGTAACATGTAACTGCATTTAAATAGATCGAAGGGCGAATATATATATATATATATATATATATATATATATATAGGACAAATAACAGAAAAAGAAAAATAATCGCAAGATAGAAAGGGAGTTAACTAGAAGCCAATATTTGAACGTGAAAGCGCCGTTGACTTCTCGGCTGGGCCCTGTTATGAAATCTCTAGCTGTTGATAAAGCCATTCCCGAAACCCCTGTTTTCGATGGGGACATCCCAAAGAATGCATGTCTTTCAATTCCTTTATTCATGCTTTTTTAACCACCTCAACAATTGGTCACCATACTACTCTACTCAACAGGCTAAGCAATTTGCTTGTAATGCTTGGCAGCGCACGTTTACGGATTTGCCGATCGCTGAAACTGCAGACAGCCACAGGATGCTTTTACCTATTGAGGGACCATGGGCGGCCTGCGCTGCACCACTCACAGCTCCACGTACACACATATCCAGTGTAGACCCAAAGGAATAAAGTGGACGCATGTAGATGGGAGCCAAGTTTCATCAACGGAGCCGGCTCACATTCCTTCAACATGCACAGCAGCAGCATTCTTGTCTATCTGTGAGCAATCATACGTACCAGACGCAGACAAGGCGATGGATGGGCCGTAGTCCGCTCCACACTGGATGGAACCGCTCTTTGCGTTTAGCATGATCACAAGGATCGTCCCTTCTGCAATGATTACCAGTTTCATGAAGCCAACTTTTTAACGGGTTGGCGCCCTTCCACCATTCACACAATGTGAAACCACACAGGGGCCATCAATCACCAAGCATCAAAGATGTGAGATATATAAGCATATGCGCACACTTACAGACCGAATTCCAATGTCGCAGAAATTAACGCACTACATGGTATGTTCTGTCAAATAGCAAACCAATCGGCCAAGACATTAGGTGAGGACTTTAACATACTGGATTTATCGTGAACCTCAGGCCGTTTACCTACCATATACACCAATCTAGTCTCTTCCTGGTATTCATACGGATGGATCCAATGTGTCAGATCACCAATTAGAATGGATCGTATCTTGGACCTAATGTTCACCATCGGCCTATTATCAGCATCCACCGACGTTCTTGAGCACTTCCTGGTGGTGACCACAGTAATCAGTAATCCCACATGATTCCAAACATAGGCTGTGCCCGAATTTCGCATACATGCCAAGAAACAAAGCCGTCAACAGGGGTATGTTTGCTAAGTTAAAGAGATCTTTTCATTGAGACGGCTTTTTCTTTACTGGAGACTCACAACTCGCAGCAGGTTTTATGCATCAACATTAATATATGTATTACTACATTCACTTCCACTGCCTATCGACACTTTGCTCCTATGAACAAAATGTCTACGTCACGGAAAACAGCTATGAATTTCAAAAGGTTGCTAACGGTATGCCGTAAAAAATGATTTCTTCCGGGTACAGAGAACACATAGACAGTTTTGTCCACCTAGAAAGCTTCATTTCTGCCGATGACACTCTTGGAGCAGAGATACCCCTTCGTAGGGCTAAAGCCTTGTTAACGTTTGCCAACTTAAGACATGTGTGACGCCGTCGGGGTATTTCGCTCTCCCTAAAGCACAGGGTTTACAAAACCTATGCACGCGCGATATTGCTCTACATATACGAATCCTGGCCGATGCGTGTGGAAGACATACGTATTCTCTCGGTCTTTGACAGTAGCTGTTTGCGGAGGTTGTCCGCGTGTCCGGGCAACACCGAGTGCG